AAGAATTTCCGCCACTGTTGCATGTCCGATACTCTGCGTGTGCGGCTTTCATTTTGTTGCAGTCGAAGATTAGATGGCCCGGAACCCCGCAAAAATCACACGTGTAGTTGGTGTTTTTTGGACGTAACCGCCCGTCGAACGTGTCGATTTCCATTGGGTCGGCGAACGTGGTGTGAACCGAGCGGTTGCCCTGTCGCGTACTGCCGACGTGCGTCCGCCGTGTTCCGGTGTAGACCACGTTGAACCGCTCTGCTGCCGAAACGACGTCACTGTAGCTCGCGTAGTTTGTCGCTGCTACCTGTGGTTTGACTTCGGTCTTCAGCCCGGCAAGATACGACTGTAATTTTTCCCCTTCGGTCAGATCGGGAATGCGGTTATAAAATTCCTCCATGTGTTGTGTATACTGCGCTATACTCCCAAACGGTCGATGGCGATGGATTTTTTCCCGGGCCAGGAAACCCGAATTTATCGGCTTGAAGTGTTTCAGCAGATCGGTGCGGAACTGCTGCCACGTGGCTTTGCCGTGAATGAAGGTGCTGTTACCGCCGATCCAATCGAGTGTCGGTCCTCGCATCAATGTCGTCACGAGTCGTACGTGTTGATCGTCCCAGACTGGCGAGCTCCATCCGCAAGTGCGAAGTAGATCTCCATGTCGGCAATCCATCTGCGGGCGTCGGAATTTCGATCGCTTGGATCAAACGGCTTAGGTGGGCGCGGTTTCGGAGCCTCGAGAAACTGTTGCGACTGCTACGTCGTTGCCGTTGTCGTGTCGTGCTGCATGCCGGCGAGTCGAGTTACTCGCTCGAACTCGTTTCGCCAAGCTTCGCGATTGGCTCGCATCAACTCGTTCCTCCTGAAGGACGGCGATGCTCGCGAAGAGCTGCTAGGTAACCTCGACGTTGTCGAAATTCGCCATCCTGTTCAAAGCACGCACGGAGGGGTGAATTCAAAAAACGTGGAGCTGGTGCTTACCAGAATCGGCACTGAATTAGTCGCCCCCGGGGGTTTTTCGAAGCAGGTTTTCCCGCTGCTCCTGCTTAGCTGAGCGCGGTTGAGTGAGAAAAGCTCTGATTACCAAGTATTACAGGATCAAATGTTTCGAGGAGAAGTTGCACTATCGATTGATACAAGACGCTTTTATACTTCCAAAGTACATCAAGTAACAAGGTTTATCCTATCCAAAGGGAATACGCACTTCTAGAAATAGAATCACCCTGCGTATAGCCACGCGAGGCTATTGGCTTTAAGGGATTACGGCAGGATTACGCTAGATATAGCGCCACAGTACATCCCGAGCCTGGTCGGTGATATAATCATAATAACAGGATAAACCAAAGGATAATGGAATAGGAGAATTAGGAAACCAAATAAGATGAGAGAAAAAGAGGAATGCAATAGAAAGGAGAGATGGAAAGGGAAGTTGGTGTAACGGTGTCGTAATCTCACATCCGCGTGCTTGAGACGAGCTACCGCGCTGCCAGCCCTGAGGCATAGCGCACTGCCTTCTCGCCGACATTTTGCGCTACCCTTTATCTCATCGCCATGCGCCTCCCTGACCGCCTAACCACAGCCCGCGACCACTTCCTTAGTCAGCACCCGGGTGATCTCACTCTTACCGCCTTTTTCACTACCCTGTCTGAGATAGAGACCCGCCAGCGTAGTATCGCTGTGTCTAGCGGTACTGCAGCGGTACCTATCTTTCAGGGCTGTGCTCTCTCCGAGTGCACTTACTCTGGTGTCTCTGGTGCTGTTGTTAAGACCGCTAATGCGGCCTCAGTGCAGAAGCGTCTGGGTAAGGGTCGCCGCCCAAAAGGGGGGCGTGGTGGGGGGATGGGGGGTGGCGGAGGGGAGGGTGGCGCAGGTGAGGGCGGGGACGGTGGTTCAGACAAGGGGACTAGGGCTAGTGCCCTGGAACAGCCGCAGCATCAAAAGCAGCCTCAGCAGCAGCTGTAGCAGCAGACACAGCAGCCGCAGCAGTCGTCGCAGCAGCAGCAGTCGCGTGGGGACCCCCGCTGCCTTGGTGGACTGGCGGCGCTAGCGGCGGTGGTCGTGGGGGGGCCGGGCGCAGCTCGGTGTTGGGTGGCAGGTCCAGCGCAATCACCTGCTAGTACCAGCTTCAAACCGGTCCTCATCGCGGCACTGTCTGCCTCCGGCCCGGCCACACCGCCGACCGATGCTACCGCCGCCTGGACGACCTGTTCCGCCACTGCTTCGGTCCTGCGTCGGACCCTCCGGACTGGTACGCCCTGGCTTGCCGTCATGTGCCGGTCCATGAGCTTGACATGGATCAGATTAGGAATGCTATGTCTGTCATGTATGCTGATGACTCTAGGGTGATTGGACCCTATTACCCGGTGTTGCCTAGCGTAAGTGTGTCCATTGTGTGTAGTCTAGGCTCCCCTGCTGCATCTGCCTTGTTTAGCCTAGGCTCCACACTAGCCCCACCGCCGGCTGCCGCTAGCGCTTCGCTCTCCTTCACGATTGACTCTGGTGCGTCTACCTACTTCTTCCGCGACCACACTTCCCTCACGTAGCTCCACCACCCTTCCTTGTCTGGCGGTCCCCTCGGGCACTCTTACAGGCCTACACATCCCCTCGTTCTCTAAGAACCATGTTGGTGTCGGCTGTCTTCAGAACCTCGGCATCGGCTGTCTTTAGGACCTCGACGTCACCACAACATTCCCGGGACACGAGCGGTACGCAGTCTGCACCGAGACCGCCAAAAGTGGTCCTCTGACCACGTTCCCCCGAGACCCTTTGTCCGGCCAGTTTAAGCTTGACACTGCGTCCCCCCCTATGAGAGTACGACCCCGTTCCATTCCTTTCTCCTTTCCATTTTCCCTTTCCATTTCATTCCTCTATTTAATCCCGATTCATTTGGTCTTTCTCTTATTCCATTTGGATTCGTCATCTTTCTTTTCCATAAACCTTTGGTTTCTCCTGTTATTATCATTATATCACCGACCAGGCTCGGGATGTACTGGTACGCTGTATCTAGCGTAATCCTGCCGTAATCCCTTAAAGCCAATAGCCTCGTGTGGCTATACGCAGGGTGATTCTATATTCTAGAAGGGTCTATTCCCTTAGGATAAGATAAACCTCGTTACCTCATGTACTTTGGAAGTATAAAAGCACCTTGTATCAATCAATAGTGCAACCTTTCCTCGACACATTCGATCCTGTAACACTTAGTATCAGAGCTTTTCTCACTCGGCCGCACTCAGCTAAGCAGCAGCAGCGAGGGATCCTGCCTCAAAAAACCGCCGGGGGCGACCAATTCGACGCCGATTCTGGTAAGCACCAGCTCCGCGTTTTTTCGAATTACCCGATCTGCGCATGTTTTGAACAGGATGGCGAAATCCGACAACGCCGAAGTTACCCAGCAGCTCTTCGCACTCATCGCCGCCCTACAGGAGGAGATGCGAGCCGACCGCGAAGCTTGGCAAGTTCGAGCGAGTAACTCGACTCGCCGGTGCGCAACACGAAACGACAACGGCGACGACGCAGCAGTCGCAGCAATTTCTCGAGGCTCCGAAACCGCGCCCACCTGAGCCGTTCGATCCGAGCGATCGAAATTCCAACGTCCGCAGATGGATTGCCGGCATGGAGATCTACTTCGCAGCCGTCGGATGGAGCTTGCCAGTCTGGGACGGACAACACGTACGACTCGCGGCAATACTGATGCGAGGGCCGACACTCGAGTGGATCGGCGGTAACAGCACGTTCATCCATGGCGAAGCCACGTGGCAGCAGTTCCGCACCGACCTGCTGAAACGTTTTGAGCCGATAAATTCAGGTTTCCTTGCCCGGGAGAAAATTCATCGCCATCGACAATTTGGGAGTGTAGCACAGTACACGCAGCAGATGGAAGAGTTTTATAACCGCATTCCCGATCTGACCGAAGGGGAAAAAGTGCAGTCATACCTCGCCGGGCTGAAGACCGAAGTCAAACGACAAGTGGCAGCGACAAACTACGCGAGCTACAGTGACGTCGTATCGGCCGCGGAACGCTTCGACATGGTCAACGCCGGGACACGACGGGCGCACGTTGGCAGTACGCGACAGGGCGACCGCTCGGCTCACCCCACGTTCGCCGACCCGATGGAAGTCGACAGGTTCGAAGGGCGGCCACGTCCGAAAAACACCAACTACACGTGTGATTTCTGCAGGGTGCCGGGTCATCGAATCTTCGACTGCAACAAAATGAAAGCCGCACGCGCTGAGTATCGGGCACGCAATAGTGGCGGAAATCCTTCGGCCAATCAGAAGCCAAAAAACGGGACTCGCCAGTGATTGCGGATCTAGCTGGCGAAAAGGAAAATATCCGAAAGCGGTCACGGACTTGCGAAAAAATCAACTTCGACGCAGCTGATTCGACGCGAGCAGGAGAAAATGATGGGGAAAAATCTCCACCCCACGACCAGTCTTTGCCTGAGGAAATCACCGAGGATAAATCTAACTCCGCGAAAAAGGACTCTGCCAAGACAGGGAAACTCCTTGAAGACCCAAGAAATTAAAAGGATTCGTTAAAGTTATCTTACAAAGATGCTTTAATGAAAACTTGTAATTCTCAAGGGGCTAGAGCCTTGGAGAAAATTCGGGAGGGACTCCAGAAGAAGCAGAAACTTGAGGAGATCGTACTGGTACCGGAGAACTTGGGGACCAAATTAAGGAGTGTGGAAAGAAGCCGACCTTTCCACAAAGTCAACGTCCTCTCCCGACACCAGCCCACAGCGACTACCCGTTCCCCAGGGAAGACGTCAGTGGAGCTGAAGCAGCTCAAGAGGAAGCTGGGGGTCTACAAGAAGCTGCAAAAACCCCGAACTTCTTCTTCTTTGGATGCATATAACTCGACAACTTCATCAACAAGACGAACAGTCGTCACGGAAACTCCGGGCCCAGGAGAAGAGCCTTTCTCCAAGCAGCCTCGGCCAGCTGCCAGCTCAGGAGTAGGAAGCAACGAATATTGGGATGTACCGTATGACCCAATCAATGAAACTATCTTTGGGTACTCCGAGCAACGCTCGCCCCTTGTGCTCGAGGTCATCTGCAAAGGACGACGCCTCCAAGCACTCGTGGACAGCGGAGCATCGCACACCGTATGCGACAAGGCAACCATCGACCGACTTTGTGAAGAGTACAAGCCATCAGCGTTTTCTGCAACAATGGTGGATGGCAGCAAGTTACCAGTGTACGGCGAAGCATTGCTACACCTACAAATCGGTCCAGTGCGCTGGAAACCTGCTCTCCCCATCACCGACATAAAAGGGCTTGACCTGATCTTCGTGCGAGGCTTCCTCAAGAAATTTAACCCCGAGATCAACTGGGTAAACCGCACCGCAAGCATCTACAACAAAGGAAGGAGAGTCCAGCTACCTAACTGGGACGATATAGGAGATATCCCAGTGGAGACACTCGCAAGATTCAAGAAGGACGTGAAACGAACCAACGCCGGGTTCCTGGCGATAGCAGCAGAGGTGGGGAATGACGGAGAGAAAGCCTCGGAACCTCCAGAAAAAATCAAGGACTTACTGAAGGAGTTCCAAGACATTCTTCCCGACGACCTCCCGGAGGAGCTACCGCCATACCGAACGCACCAACACAAGATCGTGGAGGAACCAAGTTCAAAGCCGACCTTCCGAGCACCATACCAGCTCAGCCCTACAGAACTAGCCGACATGAAGAAACAGATCGAGTATCTCCTCGCCAAAGGACTCATCCGACCATCCACTTCGCCATACGGTGCCCCAGTACTCTTCACACCGAAATCGGTCGGAAGCCTGCGCATGTGCATCGACTACCGAGCTCTCAACAAGCAGACCATCAAGAACAAGTACCCGATTCCACGAATCGATGACCTGCTTGACCAGCTTCGGGGAGCCACGGTATTCTCAAAACTAGATCTGCGGTCTGGATACTGGCAGATAAGAATGGCGGACGATTCCATTCACAAAACTGCTTTCCGAACTCGGTACGGATCGTACGTGTATCTGGTAATGCCGTTCGGACTCACCAACGCACCTGCAACATTCCAAGCAGAGATGAATCATATCCTATGCCCACTCTTGGATGAATGCGTGGTGGTGTACCTAGACGACATTCACATCTACTCGCGCGACATGCAAGAACACGTCGAGCACCTACGAGGCGTCTTCGAAATTCTTTGACGAGAACGCTTCTATGTCAAACTATCCAAGAGCGACTTTGCCCACGAGAAAGTCCAATTCCTCGGACATATCGTAAGCGCTCAAGGAGTTCACGTCGACCCCAAGAAAATCAAAGCCGTGCGTACGTGGAAGACACCCGAGAACGTGAAGGAGTTACAGCAGTTCCTTGGCTTTGCTAACTACTACAACAGGTTCGTGCCGCAATACGCAAAGATCGCCATGCCACTCACGAATCTGCTAAAGAAGAACACGCCCTATAAATGGGAGCCACAACACCAGGAAGCCGTGGAGCAGCTGAAACAAGCACTCACGTCCGCACCCGTACTCATCTTGCGAGACCCTGAAAGCGACTACGTTATGGAAGCTGACGCCAGCGATCAGGCAATGGGAGCAGTCTTGATGCAAGACCAGGGGAATGGACTGCAACCAATTGCCTACCTCAGCAAAAAATTACACGGGGCAGAACTCAACTATCCGATACACGACAAGGAGGCCCTTGCTATCATCATCGCCTTCAAAACGTGGAGATGCTATCTTGAAGGACGCACGACGACAGTCCACACCAACCATTGCAGCCTAAACTATTTGAAGATGCAACCAAGCCTCTCCAGGCGGCAGGTCCGGTGGATTGACTTCCTCGAGACACACTTCCACTACGACATCGTGTACAAGCCCGGCCACAAAAACAAATCAGATGCGCTTAGCCGGCCTGCACACGTTGCCGCTATCCAAGTTGAAGGGATGAATCCACTCCTCAAGGGACTCTTCACACACGGGTATACCATCGACCCCGAAATTCACTTGGCAGAAAAGCGGCATCTGCTACAGTGGGACAACGATATCGCGTACCGGAAAGGATCAATGAAGATCTGGGTACCTAATTACCCTCCATTGCGCTAGTTACTACTCGAAGAATACCACGACGTCTGGTACGCGGGACACTTCGGTCGCAACAAAACGCTCACCGGTATGGCCAAACACTACTACTGGCCCCACATGGCAAATGACGTACAGAAATTCGTCACCTCATGCATTACATGTCAGCGGATGAAGAGCAGCAAGCAGAAAAAGGCGGGTCTGCTACAGCCTCTTCCTGTCCCAGAATAGCCATGGCAAGTGGTAAGCCTAGACTTCATCACCGGGCTACCAACTACCACAAGCGGTCATGACGCGATCCTCGTCGTCATTGACAAGTTTTCCAAAATGGGACACTTCATCCCGACACACACCACAGCACGCACCGAGGAGATGGCACAACTCTTTGTTCGCTACATCATCTTACAACATGGCATTCCGACCACACTCATCTCCGACTGAGACCCTAAGTTCACCAGTAAATTCTGGAAAGAACTAATGTCTGTGCTCGGGACCAAACTCGTCATGTCATCCGCCTACCATCCGCAGACAGATGGACAGACCGAGCGCCTCAACCAAATTGTGGAGCAACTCCTCCGCGCAGCCTGCAAGGACGACATCTCCAAATGGGACTTGCATTTGCCTATCCTAGAGTTTGCCTACAACAATGCTACTCACGCCGCCACTGGACAGACGCTGTTCTTCCTCTGTTACGGACGCCACCCACTCACACCTCAACAGCCCAACATACCAGCCACAGTCCAACCCGCTCATGATTTCATCACGACACGGTCTTCTCTAGACGCCAACTGCCGCCACCGCCGCCCGTCCTCGTCCATGATGAACCCGAGTACGAGATCGAGTCCGTGCTTGCTCACCGCCGTCGTCGGAATGGCACCGTGGAGCTTCTCATCCGTTAGAAGGGTTATGATCCTTCAGAGCATAGCTGGGTCTCTGAATCCGATATGGATTACACTCGTCGTCCTCTTCGCGACTACCTTGTCAAGCAGGGTGTTACGTCTACCACCCAGCTTTGAGGGGGGGAAGTGTGAGAGTACGACCCCGTTCCATTCCTTTCTCCTTTCCATTTTCCCTTTCCATTTCATTCCTCTTTTTATCCTGATTTATTTGGTCTTTCTCTCATTCCATTTGGATTCCTCATCTTTGTTTTCCATAAACCTTTGGTTTCTCCTGTTATTATCATTATATCACCGACCAGGCTCGGGATGTACTGGTACGCTATATCGAGCGTAATCCTGCCGTAATCCCTTAAAGCCAATAGCCCCGCGTGGCTATACGCAACGTGATTCTATTTTCTAGAAGGGTCTATTTCCTTAGGATAAGGTAAACCTGGTTACCTGATGTACTTTGGAAGTATAAAAGCACCTTGTATCAATCGACAGTGCAACCTTTCCTCGACGCATTCGATCCTGTGACACTGCTGCTACTGCGACGACTGCTGCTGTTGCTGCTGGTGCTGCAGCTAAGTCTGCTACTGCTGCTGCTGAGGCTGAGGGTGCGTCTGCTGCTGCTGCTGCTCCGGGGCACCAGCCCTGGTCCCCTCGTCCGAACCACCATTCCTGCCCCCAACTTCTCCACCCTCCCCACCCCCACCCCCCTTCCCTCCACCACGCTCCCCTTTGGGGTGGCAGCCCCTACCCGGACGCGACTACGCTGAGGCCAAAGCGGCGATCTCAGCAACAGAAGCAGAGACGTCCGAGTAAGAGCAATGGGAGGGAGAACAGCCTTGAAAGATAGGGACCGGCGCAGTACCGCTAGACTGAGCGATAGTGCGATGGCGGGTCTCAATCGCAGACACGACGGTGACAAAGGCGAGGAGGGTGAGGTCACCCAGGTGCTGAGTAAGGAAGTGGTCGTGGGCTGTGGCTAGGCGGTCGGGGAGGCACGTGGCAATGACATAAAGGGTAGCGCAGAGCGGCGGCAAAAAGGAAGTGAGCTGAGCCTTAGTGCTAGCAGCGCGGTAGCTAGTTTCTAGTTCGTGGAGGTGAATGGCAAGATCGGAGACAGTGGGGAAGAACGCAAGGTCAGGGAACAGCATGGGGAGGATCAGCAGAGGCGGAGGCGGGGGTGGAATAGTGCGCAATGACTGCATCTAAGAATTCCTAAGCGTTCGCTACAGTGGTAAAGCAAGGACGCTCAGACAGTGGAAGCGCGTAACTAATAACAAGTTGCGCGACAGAGTCGCGCGAGTCCCAGGCAGCACAAACAAGCGCAGTAGCGGAAAAGGCCTCACGTTCAGCAGTGGTGGGGGCAGAAGAGAGGGCAAGAGGTGCAGCGAGGTGGGGAAGCAGGCCATCGACATGAACAGCCAGGGAGTGACCGTTCTGGATCTGACCTGTAAGGTGATAGCGGAGGTCGACGAGCCACGCCTCAAAGTCTATCGCCCGACCCTCCGCGTCCAGGCGGAGTTGTGAGTCCGCCATCACCACGGCTCCAGCAGCTGACTTCCGCTGATAGGGAGAGGAGGAAAGGCGGAGGAAAGCAGTGGAGAGTGGTGGAGAGCGGTGGAGTGTGGTGGAGAGTGGTGGAGAGTGGTGTAGAATAGTGGAGTGCGGTGGAGTGCGGTGGAGAGCAGGCAGACGTGCTGGTGCAGAAGGGAGCCAAGGCCGGTAGGTCGGGGGCGGCAGAGCAACGCGGCGGGGCAGCGACACGGCGGCACAGGGACACGGTGGCTCAGCGGCACTGTGACAAGGCGGCTGGCAGGTGCGGGGCCGGTGCGGGCTGTGGCCAACAGAGCAGGGGCCAGTGGCGCTGGGGGGCGGCGAGGGAGGGCCCCGCTAGCTGGGGGCCAGCGGGGCACACAGGGCTAGTGGGGCACAAGGGGCTAGCGGGGTGCTAACGGGGATAGCGGGGCAAATGGGGCCATCCATGCGTACAGGGCCAGCGGGGTGCAAGGGGCTGGTGGGGCACGATGGGGCTAGCAGGGCACGATGGGGCTAGCGGGGCGCGAACGAGGCCAGCGAGGCGTACAAGGCCGGTGGCGAGTACGGGGCCAGCGGGGCGCACAGGGCTAGTGGGGCGCGACGGGGCTAGCGGGGCACGCAGGGGGCCAGCGGGGCGAACAGGGCCAGTGGGGCGGATGGGGCTGTTATAATCACAATAGGCTCAGATGTGCCTAAAATGAGAGTTAGAGAGCACAGTCGGATTTCTGTAAGATGGCTTCAAATATTGATAACGATATGATATATGGCTCAAACGTTGATATGTAAAATTTTTCACGAGCGCGTTGTTGTCGCCTATCATCAGCAAGTTGAATCATGAAATTCCATGAAGATTTGACGATGCTATGGCGGTTTGACTGGCAAGGGGTATAGCAGCCACTCTAGTTTTAGTAGTACAAACTTAGCAAGAAGAATCGGGATTGAGATTGTTCTCAGCGTCTACAAGCCCCAAGAGCCGAGGTCAAGGTTGGTGGTACACCACCACAGAGTCCCCAACCACGAAGATTCTCGAAAAAAACTCAACAAGGGGCTGGACCAAGTGAAATGTATCACTACATGAAGTAGCATTACTTCACTATATTAATATTTTTAGTGACGGAAACAATTGTCCGGATGTTTTGCATTAATTAGGGTTTTTGGGCTTTCTGACCACCGTACATAAAGTCTTAATGTTTAATGGTGGTACTCTTTGGGAGGGGCACATAGTGCATGTGTTCACAGCAAAAAAAATCCATGATAATACACTAGATCTACCTTAGTGCCAAAAGATATACAAAGAGTACATCCGGACGATTATTTCCCAGGACAAAGAGCAAACTTTCGCGCAGCGTTTCTAGTACCTAGTCCACCAACACTTGGCCTTGATCACCACCTGCACCCTCCTAGGCATGTTATCTATGAGGTGAGTGAAAACCTTTACAGGGATCTTCTCGCACTCTTCCTGGACCCACGCTTTTGTATAAGGGGGTGAGCACTAGGAAAATTGCGAAGGATTTGAGCGTATGCAAGAGTATTGTGAACGATTTTAGATTGAATGTTATCTCTGAGACTAGCCACGCTGAGGTGTGGCCAAAGATGCCTTAAGTCGATTGACTCCGTATTATCACGGATCGTCTTCGTCGTACTGTTGTAGGGTAAAATTACGAGCAGAGTGGCGAAAACTAGCGTATCTGGCGCGAAGCTTAGGGTAACATAGCATGGTTGACTATGCACCCTTGCACTATTAGAATCACACCAGGATCCATAGGGCTCGTCACGGTGCAGCAGTCGAAGAAGTCGCTACTGTTCAGAAACAATATCCGGGTTGAGGTATGGTGAGGAAAAGGGTCACTCCAGCGCAACATACTCATACTCTCCAAGCCATTCCAAGCCATGTGTCCCGCCAAGGCTTGGAATGGCTTAGAGAGCATGAGTTTATAGCACTCGAGTGACCCTCACCCTCACCAGACCTCAACCCGGATATTCTTCCCCCCCAGTCAGGGCTTCTTCGACTGCTGCACCGTAATGAGACCCGTAGATTTAAATGTGATTCTATTAGTGAAAGGGTGCACAGTCAACCGTGCTATGTTACCCTAAGTTTCACGGCGGACACGCTAGTTTCCGCCACTCTGCTCGTAATTTTACCAAACAACGGTACGACGAAGACGGTCCATGATAAGATGGGACTAATCGACTTTTGACATCTTTGGCCACACCTCAGCATGGCTAGTCTCAGAGATAACATTCAATCTGAAATTGTGCACGATAGTATTGCATACGCTCAAATACTTCGAGATTTTCCTAGTGCTCGCCCCCTTACGCAAAAGGGTGGGTCCAGGAAGAGTACGAGAAGATCCCTGTAAAGGTTTTCACTCACCTCATAGATAACATGCCTAGGAGGGTGTAGGTGGTGATCAAGGCTAAGTGTTGGTGGACTAGGTACTAGAAATGCTACGCGAAAGTTTGCTCTTTGTCCTGGGAAATAATTGTCCGGATGTACTCTTTGTATATATTTTGGCACTAAGTTAGATCCACTGTACTATTATGGATTTTAGCACAGTGAACACATCCACTATGTGCCCCTTGCAAAGTGTACCACCATTTCACATAAAGAATTTATGTACAGTGGTCCGAAAGCCAAAAAACCCTAGTTAATGCAAAACATCCTGACAATTGTTTCCGTCACTATATCCACTTCTTAAACTCTTGAAAGCTTGAGCTCTTGGTCTTGATTGTGCAAGATAAATTCTTCTTGAGTTGATGAGGGCTTGCTGCACACACCTACGTCGCGATGGACACTACACACTCGACAAAATAGAAAAACACGTGCGATACGCAAACGACGACTTGACATGCGAGTTGTGAAAACTCGCTAATATCTTGACCGACACAAACCACATTGTGATACACCATTCAAACATACACACAAGCACTAGATAGCAATGACATACACTCACAACTCATTCCATGCCATGCATGCACACACACAAACAAGGACGACAAGCCGAGTGCAAGCCATAGGGTTGCACCAACAAACTCCCCCTCGGATTGTTGGCCTTAGAATCTGCTCCCCTTAGTTCAGAGTCATCCCAGCAAGCTTGCAACACTTCCAATGCTGCTGCTCAACCAGCCTCTTGGTCATCATATCAGCAGGTTGCGCCATCGTCTTCACGTAGTGCAACTCCACTTCACCCGTGATTACCATGCTCCTCACCCAATGCCACGTCATCGTCATGTGCTTGGTAAGACCATGAAGAACGGGATTCTTAGCGATTGCAATAGCACCCTGGCTATTAGAATAGATTGGGGTAGGTCCTTGCTGCTCCTCCCCCAATTCAGCTAACAAACGCCGCTGCCACACAACCTCTCTTATAGCACGGAAGAGTGCCATGTACTCGGACTCCACTGAGCTCAATGCTTGGTCCACTTGTTTCTTGCTCTCCCAAGCAGTTGGTCCTCAACCAACACAGCAGATGAAGCCTCCCACACCTGTCATATCCTGTGGTTCTGATGCTCAAGATGCATCAGAGAAAGCTGTGAGAAAGAGCCTCCCGGGCTTGACTCCATCCGCACCCTTTTGACGCCTTTGTGTCACCGCGGAGTATTGCAGTCCAACAGTTGCTGTTTGGCCAAGGTACTTGGCCACTCTCTCTCCAGCTGCTACTTTCTCTTCATTAGGGAATTGGACAACCCTTGCCAGCTGCTCGGTAGCAAATGCTGCATCTGGCCTTGTGTGAACGGCCGCATACATGAGGCTGCCCACCAAGGAGTGAAAGTGGCGCCTCTCCTCTTCACCAACACTTTCCTCCGCTGGTCCTTTTACACACTTGAACCCTGAGAGTAGAGGAGTTGCTACATGACCGTCATTCTTCCCAAAGTTTGCAGCCAAGGACTCCAAGTACTTCGTTTGATACACTCGCATCCACCGCTTCTCCACATCTCGCTCAATGTGAAGCCCAAGGTAGTAGTTGACGTCACCAAGGGTCTTGCACTTGAGCTTGTCTTGAAGCTTCAGCATCACCTCCTTCTCAAGATCAGAGGAGGGTGAGAATATGAGGATTTCATCCACATAAACCACCATGAAGCTCCTCTGCTCCCCCTCTCCAAGCATTAACAATGATTGACCGGCCGTTGAGGGAGTGAAGCCGATCGCCTCCAAGACTTCCCGCAGCTTGATGTACCATTGCCTAGGTGCTTGCTTGAGGCCATAGAGTGCTTTCTTCAGCTTCCACACTCTGCCACTCCCATCATTGTACCCCTCTGGCTGCTCCATGTAGGTCACTTCCTCCAAAACTCTGTTGAGGAAGGCCGTTACGATATCCATTTGCTTCACCACCCATCCTTTGATGGCCGCCGCAGCGAAGAGAGCTCGAAGGGTTGTACCCTTCCCCACTTGAGCATACACTTCATTGTAGCCCTTCTTCTCCTCCTGATGGTACCCCTTGGCTACAAGTCTGCTCTTATAGTGCTCAATGTTGCCGTCGGCATCGGTCTTGCGCTTGAAGAGCCACTTGGAAGAGATCGCCTTCCGCCCCCGTCGGCGTCGGTCTTGCTGCTACTCAGCTCTAAGGGCAGCTCCACATGCTCCAAGCCGGTACTCTTCACCTCTCCAAGCCGCACACCAATCTTCGCTTGGTTCTCCGCCTTCCACTCCTTGTACGGTAGGTTCTCCATGAACTTGCAATCTCTGCTCACCAAGAACTTCTTGGTAAATGGGTCCCAAAGAAGCCATCCCTTGCTGTTTTGAGCCATGCCCAGGTGCACGGCCCATGTTGCCTTGGCATCAAGCTTGTTGTGCCGAAGTTTCTTAGGCACAAGTGCCATGCACATGCACCTGAACCCCCGAAGCATATCCACCTTCGGCTTCCTTCCAATCCACTCCACATAGGGCACCCATTGTCTTCTCCCACATGAGTCAAGGCTCTGTTCTTGGCCACACAAGCATGCCGCACCGCATCCGGCCAAAAGTAATTGGGCAGACCGGCTTCAATGAGAGGTCCCCGAGCCGTCTCCGTGAGTGTCCGATTCGAACGCTTGGCGATGCCGTTCATTGCAAGAGATTAGGGCATGGTGAGAGAGTGCCATATGCCCTCCTTCTTCAGTTGTCACCGTGGAACTTGTGAAGGCCAAACACTCTAGGCTCATCCCTATATGGGCCAAGGCATGGTTGCACAAGAGCAACTTGTGGATCTTGGTGTTGACCTTGTACTTGGGCATCTCCTCTGCTTCCAGCACCTCTGCCACCCCCTTCCTTTGATCTAGGCATGGTCGAAATGGCTCCATAATGCTCTGATACCACTTGTTATTATCACATTAGGGTTCGATGTGCCTAAAATGAGAGATAGATTGCACAGTCAAATTTCCATCAGACGGCTTCAAATATTGATAAGGATTTGTTTGCTGACTCAAACGGTGATATGCTAAATGGATCAGGAGTGCGTTGCTGTCGCCTATCAGCAGCAAGTTGAATCATGAAATTCCATGACGATTTGACGATGCTATGGCGATTTGACTAGCAAGAGGTATAGCAGCCACTATAGTTTTAGTCGTACAAACTTAGCAAGAAGAATCGAGATTGAGATGGATCTCAGCCTCTACAAGCCCCAAGAGCCGAGGTCCAGGTTGGTGGTACACCACCACAGAGTCCCCAACCATGAAGGGACTCGAAACAAACTCAACAAGGGGCTGGACAAAGGGAAATTTAACACTACATGAAGTAGCATTACAATTTTCACTATTTTAATATTTATCCACTTCCCTTGGGCTTGAAATCTTGAGCTCTTGGTCTTGATTCTGCAAATAAATTCTTTTTGAGTTGATGAGGGCTTGCTGCACACACCTGCGATGCGATGGACACTTCACGCTCGACAAAATAGAAAAACACATGCGATACGCAAATGATGACTTGACATGCAAGTTGTGAAAATTCGCTATGTCTTGACCGACACAAACCACATTCTGATACACCATTCAAACACACACACAAGCCCGAGATAGCAATGACATAGACTCACAAGTCATTCCATGCCATGCATGCACACGCACAAACAAGGACGACAAGCCGAGTGCAAGCCATAGGGTTGCCATTGGACGGGGAGGGAAAGGTGCAGGGGCTACGGGGAGAGTGGGAAACAGACACAGGGGCAGGGAAACTGGGAGACCTCGGTGGGGAAAGCGGCGGTAGAAGGAGATAGGCTCGTCAAAAGTGACGTCACGCGAGCAAAAGAAGCGGTGCGACAGCGGGTGGTAAAAGTACCTGACAGACGCGTCGAGGGGGTGTTACAGGATCGAATGTGTCGAGGAAAGGTTGCACTATCGATTGATACAAGGTGCTTTTATACTTCCAAGGTACATCAGGTTACCAGGATTATCTTATCCTAAGAGAATAGACCCTTCTAGAAAATAGAATCACCCTGGGTATAG